AATTTTTTTTAAACATTCAGTACATTATTATTATTTGAATTGTGCCGTACGTCAGTTTCTTGCTCCTGAACAATGATTATTTATTCAATTATTCGAAAATTATTCACATTCTCTTTTTTATTATGGAGATACACAATACTAGTACAGTGTATCTTTTGCACCACAGATGCTTTCACAGAACTCAAAGTAACCATCTTTAGCATAGATCAGCACCTCAATCGTTATTGCTACTGAATGGGCATTCAATTCAAAAAGAAATAGACTTTGTAGTAGTTTAAAATGTGTTGCAATGATACAATACTGTTTTGCTGGTGTTCTGGAGTTTTGCTGGGGTTAAATAAAAACATTTTATGAAATATTATGGTCCCCATTTGATGTATAGGTGAATGCAGAGCTGGATTTCCTCCTTACAAAATTAGGCTTGGAACTCCCATCCTCGTGCCCGGTTTTTTAAAAAAAATATTAAAAACTTCATAAAATGTTTTTATTTGAATAAGCATTAATCACATGGTTCTAGTATAGTGAACAACAATGTTTGATTTTAAAAATAAATGGGATGGAATAATAAGAAACCAAAGATGTATTTGTAAATGATAAACTTCAAAAGCAATTTATACTTTGAAAGCAATTTGTTAATTTACACCTGTATTGGAACAATGATTTATTCTATCATAATTAGAGTTTTTTAGATTTATTCATAATTAGTTTTAAAGATTTTTCTGAAGGAGTGTTCAGTATAGTTTTGTGCTTGAAGGCCAATTGTATTTGTATCCACATGGGCAAATTTAATGATTACATTTGTAATTAATAATTACAATTTATTGAAATTGTAAGAGGAATTATATTCAGCCTCTGGTAGTATTAGATTTGTAATAGAAACCCCTTTTGTCTTCAGCGCTATATTTTATCTAATTGTTTGCATTTCCTGAGAAGTAGAAATGTAGTAACAGCAGTAGTAATGGTTATCATGTCTTATTTTCAAAACATTTAAACCTTTTTTCATATTAAGTGCAATATCAAGACAAAGGATTACAAAAGACTATGCCACTTGGAAATCTCTTTTGAAGATTTTATCTCCAATAATTGATATAATTTTATTATTGAAGATCTCTAATACTGCTCTCAGAATTATCTGATGCAGTATTTTCACTTTATCAGCTTTAACTTGATATGTACTTAACACAATAATTTGCATCTAAATCAATATCATAACATGACATACAATTATACTGAAAAGCAGCAAATAGTTTCTATGAATTATATAACCGCACCGGTGGAAATAATATGGCCCATTGCAATTGCAAATATAGTTTTAAAATTTCAATCAAAACCAATAAAACATGAAAAGTTCATCATGCAGTTTAATTAACTAAGAAAAAGTAAACTAGGGGAATAACAGAAAAAAAACCAAAAATATATTTTGATAAGAAACATAATAAGGAGCAGTAGGAGTCAATGATTACGATTTATGTCAAGTTAAACATAAAGATTTATACAATGTTGGAGAGAACTAAGCAGTTAACCTTGTTATTAAAAAATGGTATAATCCAAGGTTTGCCCTACCATTGGCTCAGGTATTTCAATAAATAAAAATTACAGTGAAACAAACATTGATAAATATTTGAAAAATTTTCATTACCTCACTGTTCTCGTGATATTAAGAGAATTATTTTGTTATCTCGCAAATTCCGCTTTGGAAATAAACCTGCCGATTCGCTCAGATTGTGATATTTACAGCAGGTACCAATCAAGGAACAGTATTCAAAGTGATACAAAACAACGAAACTTTGAAGAAGCATGAGCCCTGAGCAGTCATGCCAATCTTAAGGACATTGGCCCAATTTATTGAAGACTTTCCGCCTCACTCAAACATTGTATTTTTGCCATTATTGGCAATTACTGCACAAAATTTTATAGACATGTGTCTATAATGTTACGTTTTATGATTCTGCGCTTACTAATTGTGTAATAGTGCTTTTTATGTTCAATCTTATGCTTCAATTTTTCATTCCGTGGCCACGCGATCTGTTAGTACAAGTTAAGAAACAAGTAAACGGTAGCTCTTTATGTGCTGTTAAAATATTATTTTACATCTAAATATAACATGTAGTGTATAAAAGTTAACATAACAATTAATTCGAATGTAGAATGCAAGACTTTTACCACAGTTTAAAATGAAATATTAATGAATATTAAAATTCCTCAACGTTGATACGAGGAGAGATTGAATTTCTATTTATTTAATCTTGTGGAAACTTTATGTTAAAATGTATGTAATTTTAGCACTATTTATTGTTATGTAGTAGTGATGCACCTAAAAAACAGATAATCCGTGTGTGAAACGTTGCGCCAAACATTGTTACATTTTATTCGGAATTGACTGTCTACAATCAATAGATACTTTAACCCAGTACATTTAACAGACTGTCATAAATATAACACAATTTAGAGTAAGATTTTTAAGTAAAAAGGTGTTTTATAATCTCTTGTCTTATGGTACATGACGATCCACTCAGAATATTAAGAAGTGTAATTGACTTGAAAACAAGACACTTGTTAATTTCTACTTTTTTGCCTTACTAGGTTCTCAATGTATAAAGAAGTACTGTAATGTTGCGGCAGATATACGCGATTTTTCACAAGAAAAACTTGAATTTTAGGGGCATTTTTAAAGTGGAGACATCTTGTTTCTGTAGAAAATAACTTCCTCTTTCGCTTTGCGCTATCAGAGTCGACGTTTAGTATGAAACTCAGTGCGTCTGCTTGTGGTCAACACTAGCGCCTCCACCCTCAGAAGATTTTTATATAAAACTGACATTCTCCGATTAATTTGAACGAACTCGAACTGGACGCATGTTTGTGCACAACAATTTTTCTATAATTTTTGCTTGAAGTTAATGCTATTTACAAGATAATTCTAAATAATCATTCAAAATATTTTATTATTTGTTTGCAAGGAAAGAGAAAAGGACACAAAGAATAAGATTGAAGAATAAGATTGAACTCTGAATTTGTGATAATTGCAAAAGTCAGATATACAGTTAGAAAATATGTACTGTGACAGCAGTACTAGTTTTTAAACACCATAAAGTTGAGATTAACAGCCTGGCTATAGGAGCAAGAGTAACGTGCATTACCTGTTAATACTAAGGCTCTGACTTCGATTCTCGTCATAGAGAATAAATGCTAAATGGAAACACTTTCAGTTCCTTGTATTAAAATATTATGCATGTATGTAGTTTGGCACAGCTATTTACGTGCTAAGCCCTATCAGCAGAGACTCAGCCTTGCGGCCATGGTTTAAGGGGCACATAGCCATTCCTACGCTGTATTTTTGGTATTCTAAACCTGAGATATGAGTTTTCTCGTCGCCATACAGCAACAGATACTGGAACTTTGGAAGGAAAGCGCACAATTAATGTTACCCCGACCAGGAATTGAACTCGGGTTTGCGTCGTGGAAAGCAAACACGCTAACCAACGAGCCACCGTCGGCGAGGAAAAACATACACTAATTAGCACCAATACTTAAGAGTAACCCAAAATTAATGCCTTCTCTATGTTGTATATTAGAGAACATAATTATCTGATTATAGGAATAGGGCTTGCTATTAAAATGATAATTATCATTAAAATGTAAAATATCATGCTTCTAATTTTAATTATATTATTTTATTCATTGTATGATTTATTTACTTTGGATTATTTAACACAAAAAATTTTTTTTATCTTTGTACTGAAAACGTTTGGTGTCACTAATTATCTATTTCTAATACTATTGTGTATTGAATACCCAGCAAAAGAGGTCAGCTGACTGGAGCACTGACCTTACCTACGGGTTGCAGCTTTGAATGTAGTGAAAAATATTGGTAATATTATTATACGTTCTTTACGGGGAAGGCAATTCCACTGTTTTTCATTGTGTAAATTGTGGCCCAGTACTTACAAAATACCTTAGTTAGCAAACGTTTCAAAAAATATTTCTTATTCTCCAGGATACAAATATAGAAACAACACAGTTTACAACCAAAATATAACCATATACATAACACAAACTCTACAACAAATTAAATATTTTTTTAAAATTAAACTACACATTAAAAAGATTATATATTGAATTAGTTGGAATTTATAAATCAATTTCTAATTACCTTGCAACATTTATTCGAACTCATCGCACATAAAACATGAGTGATTCTTTTTCAGTGAATAATTCCCCCCTATTAACATATGATCACTTTATATTTTGGATTGACTCTTGAATTGACACTTGACATTTATCCCAACTCATCTCACATAAAACATGAGTTTTTTTTCAGTGAGTCATTCCCCCTATTAACATATGAGCACTTTATATTTTGAATATAGCTGACAAATGAAATTTCCATGAGCCATTTCATTCATCAAAATGTGGTCAGGTACATGAAAAATATCTTAGTGGGGCAAGGTTTCAAAAATGTTACTTATTCTCCAGGATAGGAAAGTAGAAACAAAACATTTTACAACCAAATTATAACAACAAACATGAAACAATAAAGTCTACAACAAATTAAACAAACATTTTATTATTTATACTAAACATTAAGAAGATTATAAATTGAAATTAGTTAATTGGAAAAATCAAATTCCGATTACCTTGTTAAATTTATCTCTCCTCACCTGATGTAAAATATGAATGACATTTTTATCAGTGAGACATTCTCCATATTAACATATGAGCACTTACATCTGGAATACAACTAACTAATGAAATTTCCATGAGCCATTTCATTTAACAGAGCTGTTGAGAATAATTCAAGTATCCCATCATTATACACAATAAACATGCATTGTAATTAAAAAACTAATGAACTTTATAATTCGCATACTAAAATTGATATAACTACTTAAAAATGTGCCATAAAAATATAGTTCTATAATTCTCAAACACAGTTATAATATGAATAAAATAAGTTCAATTTATAAGTAATGCTTTTAAATTTGTATTTCAAAGAGAAAAACATGTAACCTAAATGAAATAAAACAAATAAAAACACGTTACTGATGTGTTTTTTTTATTCAATCACCCAGCAAAATTCTACTATCACAATCACACAAGATCATGTCCAAGTATAACAGAACTGCTGTACCTTAATTATTACAGAAATGCAAACAACCTGTGAACAAGAAAAATACATTTCCAGCATAACTTTGAAAACACAAAAAGATACCTATTTAAGGAACATGATTACTTTATATACACTCGACATAAATTGCAAGATAAAATTTAGCATAATACTGTAAATATAATATATAGAGTCACATACCATAACAATGGTTGTGTATACAAGTAATTAAAGCATTATACTCTGAAAGTTATACATTTATACATTTAGAGCAGAATAATTTGATGCATATAGACAAATATAGTATTATCATGTTAAATATATATATATATATATATATATATATATATATATATATATATATTGTTTTTATTGTTTTCTTAAAACCAAGGTCTTTCTCAAACTAAAAGAATATCAAGCATGTAATCAACATTGATGAGTCTTACACTTAGGAGAAAACAAGACTTTACAATACTATATTCATTAAAAATAGAGCTTGTAACAAGAAAATTTGACAAATTAATTAGGTCATATGTCAATAGAAAAATATGTACTTAAGATTAGTTTGCAAACCAATGGTGTATAATAACATTTATATCATCTTTTTAATATGATCATTAATTAATATTGATAAATATCATCAAAATTAGAGATGGTTGTAACTTTTATTTCAATTGCCATCTGGAAAGGCTGTTTGCTTTCAAATGAATGTTGGTCTACATTTATTGGTGACACATTGGAATGCTGTAAATATTATGTACTATACAAGATCATGATATAATATATGTATATGTTTATTGACTTCTACCTTGCAATTTATTTAGCCAATGCACGAATAGAGTTATCACGTTCCGTAAGTTTGCAATTTGTGTGTCGTCAAACGCATTTCATATTATATACATATTTGAGCCACGGTGTATGTGCATCGATTTAAATGATTAAGATACAGCAGTATATTTGAACATTAACTTGCTGAAGACATATATGCAGGCATAAAATGACTGCACCATTACATCTCGAATCACGAAGAACGATTTCGTTAGGGTGCTGTTAATAGTAGTAGGTACATCGTGATTGGAAAAAAATAGATTACTGGAAATGAGACGTTATCTGCTTTGCTTACCTCTACGTTGTCTTGGCTCATTATCACAGATTATTTCTAATAATTTTGGAATATCACTCTATAGTCATCTATACATTCACGTTTTACAACGTATTTGCAACTAATGCGAGTGCAATTTTTTCGGAACGTGTCAGCGCCCTCTGGAGTAACAGTATTGCAATGGTATTCTAGAGGGCGCTGTACAGCTAAATAAACTAAAATATCGATACATTTCAATAAATAACGATTGGCAGCGATACTTCTTTTTCAACATACACTCATTTTCGAATAAAAATTCCTAGTATCGATAACACGGTATCGATTAAAACGGCATTGAAACGAAAACACATTGAGTAGCCTTTTGAACATGGGTCTGCACAAGACCAACTACAAATATCAAACCACAATAAATTCTCAATATCAATATCTCAAAAAATGTGAACTATCGTAGGCCAAGCTATGAAGCATGTTAGATCAAGACCAACTACATATCTCAGATAAGAATACAGCAATCTGTATGGAGAAAATGGCGTCTATATCGTGCGGACACATGGGAGTCAGGTGGCTTGCTTGTGGCTTTGCGTGTGCATACGAACAGTTGTGAGAAGAGCTTTCGAATGTGTTTTACAGTATGAATGATGTGATAACAGTAACCGTAGTGAAGGGTAATATGTTATTCACATTATAAAAGCTATACTCCGTGACTATTGTGAGATCTGTGTTAAAAATGCAATGGGTCGTAAGTGCTCTGTATCTGGATGGAAAAAACAATTATAGTTCATTCGACACGACAATTTTTATATTTCTAAATGACAAAGTTTTACGGGAAAAATAGGTGAAAAGAATTCACTGAGTTAATTTTTAAGTGAATGATAATGCATATGTATGCATTAAACACTTTGACGAAAATATTATTGTGAAGGAAGATATTTTTCGTGTGTCAAACGGTGACGATATTAGAATCCCTGGGAAGGTTTATAAATTGACAGATGATGCATTTCCCACTGTTTCCAAATCAACCATCTTACCGTATGGTGACTGTGACAAAAAATGCGAAATCCGGCAGACAGGGTCCCGGAATGTATGAGAAGAGATAAAGATAATTTTAAGCAGTGGTTTGAAGACGACAAAATGCCAATTTTACAACTTTTGCTAATTGTATTCGAAGACGTGTGTTCAAACATTTACTGTTATAGTGAAAGAGAGCTATGTATTTTTTACCAAAAATTGAGAATGCCTCGTTTAATGACATACATATAATATCAGTAGGTTTCTAAATTTCATATTCCTTGGAAGTTAAAGTGTTCCATGAAAGTGTGTGCTTGCCTACACAACAATTTAAATGTATTTTAGAATTGTAGGGACAAAAAAATTGAAATGTGACAAGTGGTTTAAGTTTGATACATTAGTCAGTCGTCTTATCAGTTATTTAGATAATTTCATTAGTTTTAAAGATAAAATCTGCTTGCGAAACCATTTCTAGTAAACAGTGACATAAGTGATGAAACAACAACGAAAATAAAATTTGCCCTGAATGGGAGATTGTTATATCTCCTCAAGTGAGGTACTCTGCTGAACTATTAATTTGGGCTGCCACTCTGTGTTTTGCGTTTCCTGGTGCTCACCGCTTACTAAGATAATTAAATGTGATAATGTTACCTCAACATCTGTATTTAAGAAAAGTTTTAGGTAAAATGGGTCCTAGCACTCCTGGTATTGGTTCTTCCCAAAAATAATTCTTAAGGGAAAAATATTTTTTAATAACAATATTAAAGTTGTGTCATTGTTGCTTGATGAAATTTTTTTTAAATCTAAATTGTCATACAAAGCTGGTAGAATTTTAGAAATGACACAAACGGATACTGCTAGAGCATTGCAATTATTTATTATTCCCTCATTATATTCTTCAAATAAAGATGTTCTAGGCCTTTTTCCAGTGCACAAAATCAATACGGACACACTACTGCAACGTACACTTGAGGTGTTAAATGTCACGACAAACTGGATATGATGTGTGTATGATTTGTGATAATCGTAGTTCAAACAGAACTAATTATGCTACATAATGGCACAGACTTTCCCGTATTAGTTTTCTATTTCTTTTGGTCTCGGCTACCAATTCTAACTAGCCAAATACTCTTTTTTCAATCCTTCTATCACCGCTCAAAGTACTTTTTTTGAAATTTTCTTTTTTTCATCACAATATGAGAGCGGCATTATTATTTTCAAAATATTAAACTGCAGTAAAATCTCGTTCACAATTTTCATTGAAGAATTTGAGGCCATTTTTAAGAAAGTAGCGTTTAACCGCTACAGTAAATTGGAAATTACAAGCTCTCTTTCACAGATTTTTTTTGTTTTATGAAAAACTTCATTTAAAGATATTTGAAGCATATTAACTTACAAATACAATAGTGATTACAAATATTTGTAAATAGGTATATGTCTGGTATTAGAGATCTTTAGAAAATATTACACTTAAATAATTTTTGAAGAAAACAAAATGCCCCGAAATGAACTTTTCCTCATTTTAAAGAGTGCAGTAAGAGTGCAAAGAGTGCAGTAACCTTTCAAAAAGTTTGAATAAAACAAATTGGATCCATGTTTGAGAAAATTGCGTTTCGTAGTTTCTGAAAATGCGGAATTTTGAGCATGTTTTCAAAGGAAGCGATTGAGTTTTGAGAAGCTTTATATGACATTATTTAAACCACATGTACTCATAAATGCAATAAAGTGAATAAATAGCCTCCAATATAAATATTAACGATGTGAGAGAAGTGAAAAACATTAAATGTATGTAATTTTAAAAAACCAAAGAATAGAGCAATATGTCTTCTTACAGAGTATATTTAGCATTATTCCTTCCAAAAGCTAAAAGAAAAAATATGGAGCCGTTTTTGAGAAAATCTTGTTTATATGTTTTTAAATTTGCACAAATTGTATGCAATATTGCGCAAAGAACACTAAAATTTTCAAAAAATGTGCATGGCCTTAATGAAAAAACTCACTATGGAGAATAAGTTTTATTTGAAGGAAAAATCTCTATCTTTAATTTTGTAGTTGTAGAAAAACACTGAAAGTAATTCATAGTTTTGAAATTTTCGAAAATGCATGGTTAGCGAAATTCATGGTATGAAAATCGGAACTATGCCACGGTTATAAGTGTAAGTAGTTCTATTCTTACAAGAAATGTAAAGAAAGAATTTGGAGGAATTTTTAAGAAAATGTTTGAAATGTCCGGAGGGCTTCATAAAAAGTACCCCCAAATTTTAAAGAATGTTTTTCAAAATCTCAAAATTTCGACTCTACCCAGATAGGGTGTTTTTCAGTTTGGAAGAAATTCTACGTATGGTTTAGGCGCTAGTTAGTGTTCACAGACACCAGATTGACGGGCGGATAAACGTTTAAAAACCAATTTTTCGGTATCTGGGGACCCCAAATCGTGTATGTACGTTGAAATCCACGAGCATTACATAAATTTCCCTATACTATGTATATTACTCCGAATATATGTACGTATACGGGAAAGTAAAAAGAAATATTTTTAGATTATGGCAAGAAAATTTTCGATTATTTTACACAATTAAACAGAGGTGGTATAAGTGTCCTTCTTCAATGATTTTCTCCTTGTTGTAACGTATATAGACCTTTTCAGACTTTAATTAATGATCATTATGAATCTGATTTCTCAAGATAAGCAACTGAAGAAATTCAGGTGTAGAATTAGGACTAGAGGTAATAGAAAGGCTGCCAACCTAGATGACAAGTGTGAATGTGCTATTGTGTTGAGGACAGTTGTTT